TCCAAGTGCATAGAAAACAGATGAACAAACAACTTTCCAATCTATATATAGTAGCAGGAAGTTGGAAGGTGGATAAGCAGATTTGAAATACAGTGGTACCTCTGGTTGCGAACGGGATCCGTTCCGGAGGCCCGTTCGCAACATGAAAAGCCCGCAACCTGAAGCACCGTATTTGTACAGGTGCGCAGCGCGATTTTGGCACTTGTGCACATGTGCGAAGCACGATTTAGCGCTTTTGCGCATGCATGAGCAGTGAAACCCGGAAGTAACCCTTTCTGGTATTTCTGGGCCGCCGCAGGACGCAACCTGAAAAAACGTAACATGAAGCAAACATAACATGAGGTATGACTGTATCATTCAATACATGAAAGATTGGGTGATATTCAATATTGGTCAGAGTAGACCCATTGAGATTAATAGACTGCAGGAATTTAAATATCGACTGATTTCAATAGATCTACTCTGTGTATGTCTACTGTTGCATATCATGTAGTATAGGTATACGTTGGCCCATTTAGCTTAGTACAATAATGAGCTGCAGCTTTCTGGGGTTTCAGAAAGGGAGTTCTTCCCAGCCTTATTTGAACATGTCCAGAATTGAAACCAGAACTTTCTAAAACAGGCATCCCCAACCTGCAGCCCTCCAGATGTTATGGCCTACAACTCCCACGATCCCTAGCTAACAGGACCAGTGGTCAGGGATGATGGAAATTGTAGTCCAAAACATTTGGAGGGCCAAAGGTTGGGGTTGCCTGTTCTAAAACAAGGCAGATGCTCAAACCAGCCAGCTATAATCCTTCAATCTCTTCTCACCTCTCCTCCCCTCACTGTAATTCCTATGGAGCCCTCCACGATCCATCCCACATTTTGATATTTTTCCCTTTGCCTTCTTTAGCATGCTGCCTTCTTAGGTCCCCTCTCTTTCTGGGCAACAGCCTCTTCTGTTCCCCTGTGACTTAGACCATTCCAACTACCCTGCTCTCTTGCAATATGCAAGCTATTCATTACCACAGTTTAAGAAACAAGCCTTAATGCATTACAATATGAACTCTCATTACATTCCCCGTGCCACTAGGTTAAGGCAGGCTATTCATCTAATTCCGAAAAAAAGTATTGGACAGTTCAATTTATCCACATTCACGACAAAATCTTCAATTGAAAAAGCCTTCATTATCTATTCACCATTAATTGCACATACATTTAAAAGCTACAGCCCTAACATGCTGAAAACAAATAATTAAATACCTTTCTGGATGAATAACTGAAGGCAATGAGGATAAAAAATAAAGCAAAAACCACGCTGACCGCCCCACCAATCATATTAACGCAGAGACTATTTGTAGATTACCAGCGATGTTGCAACGTTTTAATGAATTCAGGAAAGCATTTAAGATCCAGTGAAAAATAAGGAAATCACGCTGAGGTTTTTTTTTAAAAAAAGGAGTAATATGCCTTTGTGTAGGATGAATCACCATTTATTTACATTATGCAGATAAAAATGTCACAACAATTAATTTCCAGTTTTATCTGAATCTAATATAGCATGCAACAGTGAGAACCAGACAAGCAGTTTGCTGAGTTGGTGTAATTGGCAAACAAATTTAGCAGTAAATAGGGTTCGGATATGGAGGCTTCAAACAATTATGAGCATGATCCAGAGTCAAGCTCTTTTTAGGGAACAATCCTATGCACAAGAAGCATAGCAGGTGTAAATTAAGCTGGTATTAAACTTAATATAACAGAGTCAAATTCTGTTCACCAGCAATGCTGCTGCTCTGCCTAAGCCTGGCAGAGGGAAAACAAGCTTGTAAAATAGTGTTCTGTGATGGGTTGCCAGGTCACTTGGCTGAACTAAACTGCCTCAGAATCCAGCCTAAGCCCCCACTCTGTACCTCCCCAGAACGTACCTTTTGGGGACTTACACAGGCATCGGTTCAGCTAGCTGTTGTATCTTTGGCTAAGCCAGGGTTAAGGGTGGAACACCAGATAAACTGGAGACCCACTGCATCTTAAGCTTCACCCCAGGTGACTTGGATTACCCCCAAGGCTCTAGTCTTATGGATACCTTTTAAGGAACAACTCTATGAAACTCAATGAGACTTTCCAAGTAATCTTGCATAGCATTGGAAACCTTGCTATTCCTCTCACTTTGTCTACAACATCATTTTTGGCCATCTATGTTCAGCTTCTCTACGGTCAATGCTACTGGGCCAAGTCACTCCAAGGGCCTCATAAAACCAATCAAAAAGGCAGCACGTATGACCAGCCGGAACTTAATCCACATAAGCACATGACCCACAAGCAATGGGATTTTGTTTACAGCAGGGGTAGGCAACCCAAGGCCCGTGGGCCAGATGAGGCCCAATCACCTTCTCAATCCGGCTCGCAGATGGTCCAGGAATCAGTGTGTTTTTACATGAGTAGAATGTGTCCTTTTATTTAAAATGCATCTCTTTATTTAAAATGCATCTCTGGGTTATTTGTGGGGCACAGGAATTCGTTCATTCCCCCCCCCCCAAAAAAAAAATAGTCCGGCCCCCCACATGGTCTGAGGGACGATGGACCGGCCCACGACTGAAAAAGGTTGCTGACCCCTGGTTTACAGAAATAACTGCAATCCCCATCACAAATGGAGTTCTATGGGTTACCTGTGCTGTAGAAAGACACAGATCCTTCTATACACCGCAGTCCTAGGAAACAAACTCAATCTATTTTATTTCAATGGTTTTTACTCCAATGTAAGCATGCCCAGAGCATGATCCTATGAACATTTGCTCAGAGACAAACCTCCCCAAGTTCAATGGTACTTACTTCCAAGTTGCTGTGCTTCAGATTGTAGCTTTATAATTACTTGATAGTTCCTCCAAATACACAGACATACTTGCCAACAAGAAAAGAGATTCCAACTAAACATTAGGAAGCACTTTCTGGCAGTAAGAGCTGTTCAGCGGTGGAACGGTCTCCCTCAGAAGGTTGTGGACCCTCCTTCCTTGGAGGTTTTTAAGCAGCTATTGGGAGGCCATCTGGCATGGATGCTTTAGCTGAGGTTCCTGCAATATAGGGGTTGGACTAGACGACCCTCAAGTTCCCTTCCAACTCCAATTTTCCTTTGGGCAGGAGCTGCAGAGCACAGCTCTATGTGTTCACTCAAAAGTTGGACCTTTACCTAGGCTGCAATACTTTGTACACTTACTAGGGAAGTGAAACTCAGTGGGCCTTACTTCTGAACACATAGCATAGGATGGAGCTATAAGCATCCTTAGCATGACACCCTACAACCTTAGCCCATGCAAGTTTACTTTGAAGTTCACTGATGGCTGCCAGGGGCACAGGTAGTATGCATCTGAATACTGGTTGCTGGAAACCAGAGGAACCTGTATTCCTGTGCTCAGGTCCTGGTTGCAGGTTTTCCACAGGTCAACCACTGTGAGAACAGGATGCTGGACTAGATGGATCATTGGCCTGATCCAGCAGACTCTTATTATGTTCTTCATTGGTACTGTGGCTGCAATCCTGTACAGGCTTGTCTGGGCGTAAACAGGATGTAACAGGACTTACTTCTGAGCTTTATATGTTTGTGCTTAGGAGAACTGCTATGTGTCATAGTTGACAGAGGATAGTCTAGAATTTTAAGAGCTGTCTGGTGCAAGATAAAGAAAGCATAAAATCTGAGATTAAGGGGTTTGGACAGCAGACTGAGCAGGCACACAGCCTTTCCCACTATGGTGAGGTGCCCTGTATTTCTATTTGCATTGCAGAGGTTTCTCCAATTTTTCATCCAAACATAAAAACTAGAGCATGCAAGTTCTTTTTTTCCTCCCCTGCTGGTGACGCACAAAGTGGCTACTCTAACCTCACGCTGGTTCTGACAGGGCGCATGGATCCCATTCCAGTCTCCGCCCTTCCTGCTGTGAAGTTTCGCTGGGCTTTTCGTGGTTTGGAGTCAAGCGCTCCCTGGTAAAGTTTCAACATCGTCTCAAGCGAAGGCTGTTTCTGCTGGGATATAGCCCACGTTGGGATGCTGCTCCGGCCGGTTTAACAGCGCCTAAAGCTCCGCGCGCGCGCCCGCCCGTCCTCCTGCCATCATTCCCTAGCTCTGGCCTACGGGAGCGACTTTTGTTTGCAAAGGAAACTGAACCAATTGCTGTCCAGAGCCGATCGGTGCCGTCCGCAGCCTTCCCCGGGTTATTACACAACCGCACGCGGGTTTGCCAACAGCGTTGCAAAACGGGCATGGCATTTTGCAATGCGCTTCACGGATCTATTCTAGTGTCAAGAGAAGCAATTTGGGGACCCTAAGGTGTTTTTTGGGAGGGGAAAACCCCTCCTTTTACATTTCCTTCGCCTACATCGTGGTCCCCCTTCGCTCCAGCTGCAGGAAGCCAGCCAGAGCCTCCCTTTTTTTTTTTTGCAAATAATAAAGCCTCTCCATTTCCCAACCATAGCTGTCAACTTTTCCCTTTTCTTGCGAGGGATCCTATTCGGAATATGGGAATTTCCCTTGAAAAAAGGGAAACTTTGACAGCTATGTTCCCAACTGCAAAGCAGCTCGTGCTGCTGCCGTGGCTGCCCCGAACTCTGACCACAACCTCCTTCCTTCCTTCCCCCCACACCACCCCCGTTTGACTTGGAACAGTCGGGTCAAGCTCATTACGGCTACGGGCAGGGCGGGAGAAAGCGAGGCAAAGGTGGGGGTGGGGGATAAAAGGAAGGAGGGGAGCGCTTCAGTGCTGGAGAACGGCAGCTGGGCTGGAAGAGCGGCGGCGGCGGCGCTACGCACGCGCGTCTCTCTCTCTCTCCTCGCGCGCGCTCTCGCTCTCCGCTGCCGGGTTGGCGCCTCGCAGCCCGCGAGCCGCTACCTGCGCGCGCGCCCCCGCGCGCCTGCCTCGCCTCTCCGCGACTTGGCCAACTTTTCTGCCCACCAGCTCTCGCCTGCGCTCCTCCTTCCCCCGCCCCTCTCTCTCTCCCCCCCCCCCACTCTCTGCGGCGGATCCATTTACCTTGGGAAGAGGAGGGAGCCTGGGCGCTGTACGGCGGCGCTGAGCTCTCTCGGGGGGGTTTTCAGCAGCCGTAAAGCGGCGTGAGAGAGCAGCGGGCGGCTTTCGCTCGGTCTCCCTCCCTCGCTCCCTCCATCCTCCCGGTAGCTGATTTGCGCTTATTACAAGGGATCAAGTGCCCAGTTTGGCATTAGCGGGCCGGCAAAGGGCGAGGGAGGGCGCGGAAGGGAGCGAGAGCGGTTCGAGATGGCGACATCTCGGGGCGAAGAATGGGACCGCTTTGCAAAAAGAGGGAAGGAATGAGCAAAACATAAGCTGTGGAAGAAGGGAAAAAGCGAGAGGAGTTGTTTATTCTTTTTTATTCTTTTATTATTATCTTTATTGCATTTATAAAAATTGCATAGAAAGCATAGAACACATAGAAATATTAAAAAAATAATAAGAAAAAAATACAAAAAGGGAAAAATATAAAAAGGAAAAGACATGATAAATAATAAAAAAACAAAAAAGAATTAGTCACCTACACAAAATTGTTCAAAGGATACAAACAGTAATTTCTGAGAAAGAGGAGTTTTTTGTTGTTGTTCTTGCTGATGCTCCTGCGCCCTTAACCAGGTGCCTGCCAAAAAGAGGTTCTGCTTTAGGAGCTGCCTTATACTGAATCAGACCAGTATTCCCTGCACTGACTGGCAGCAGCTTCTCAGGGTTTCAGGCAGGGAAGTCTTTTCGGAGATGGGGATTGGTGGGTCTTTGGCCACTCTAGCTGGGGGCCTTTGCTTCCCCCTGCAGGTGGAGATGCAGAGAAGAGGAAAGCTTAATGAAGGCCTTCCACCTAGGGATAGAGAAAGCTGCCTTCTACCAAGTCTAGAGTTGCCATATTCCTAGAAGGAAAATTTTAGGGATGTGGGTGGCGCTGTGGGTTAAACCACAGAGCCTAGGACTTGCCGATCAGAAGGTCGGCGGTTTGAATCCCTGCGACGGGGTGAGCTCCCACGGCCTATAGAGCAAGATGAGTGCCGCAACCCCAGAGTCGTCCACGACTGGACCTAATGCTCAGGGGGTACCTTTACCTTTACCTATGTATGGAAAAGAAGGCCCATTGAGTCCTTTCACTTCCTCTTGTGCCACTTGTCTGGCCAGGCATACATTGTTCCATCCACACTGCAACTTGTTCACCCATTACTTAGAAGAGGCCTGTGCATGTGTAGAGTGAACCAGCAGCTGCCCTGCTAACCACATACGGATCATGCTAACTGTTCTAACGCTCTGTGGATCTTTGAAATGCATTTGGGACAAATGAATAATATGCTGCATGAACAGTTAAGTGAATGAACAGATAATTCTGTTGTCTGTTCACATTTTATGCGCATGTTTCCCCTCAAAACGCCTTTGGTCTTAAAACGGGTATTCAGCCCCTTTTCATCTTAAGCATTGCACCAGCCTCTTAAATGGCAAATGCAGCCTCTGAAATAATCAGATGAAATGCTGCCTGACTTTGAGAATCAGAGGATAATGTTTAGTTGAACTGGGTTTGTTTGCTACTTGACAAAATGACCCATTCTTAGGCAATCATTAAAATCACAGGCTACAAGCACTGCATCTTACCTGTCCTCTGAAGTAAATTACACCCTACAGACTTTGCAGGTCATTGTCTTTTTAACACAGAGAATGGAGCCATTGGGACATTCTAGCCTTTCCTTAGCAAGCTGTGTAAGCTTTTAAATAAAACATTCACCAGGATGAACTGAAATAAAGTAAAAAAATACCCAGTTCGGGAGCAAATCTTTGTGTGCATCTTCCCAAGCAATCTCAGCTTTGCTGGAGTGACTGTACATCACCTACAGTTGGTGGCCAACTGAGACAAGAATTACCATTTTAGGCCCAAGATAGTAAGTTGTAAATTCAGGGGTAGGCAAGTCCCCAAGCAGGCCAAATTAAGAACATGGAAGGAACATTGTCTTGTATCATGAACCCACTGAGTATTGTAACGCTGCTCCTTTGTAGTAAGGATGCAGGGGTTACAGGAGGAACCTTCCCTAGGCAATAAATGTTTCCTGGGTTCTGTCTATCCTGGCTGTCCATTGGATCCTCTTAATGAAGGATTATAAAGTCTTCTGGGTCGGACCAGGCAGCAAACATGGCTGATGTGATTAGCTCCTTTGGTGTGGTTGTGATTCTTGGCTTTTTCCCCTGACTCATAGCTGTCAATGGGCCAGTGTTTCCCACAGTGGCCATGGCCAAACAGATGTCCATGGTGCATTCACAAGCCAATCGTGAGTGCAACAGCCTGCTGCTGTTCTTCCTCAGCAGCAGGTTTTCAGAGGCATACAGGCTCTGATACTGGAGTGCAACCTTCTTGATTAGTGGCCATTGATAACTTTATCTTATTTGCCCAAGCCCCCTATCTAAGCCATCTAAGATGTTGGGCACCACCACATCTTGCAAGTTCCATAGGTTGAACTTTGTACTGTTATTTCCTTTTGCATGTCCTGAATGTGACACAATTCAGCTTCATTGGATAACCTGCGTTCTAGTATTGTGAGAATTGAAGAAACAGCATTTCTCTGTCCCTGGGGCAATAATGTTCCCCACTGTTGGAGGAGAAAACTGTGCTGGGCCCAGGGGTAACCCGTGAAACGCGGTCCAGGACCATTCCAGAATCTGAAGGTTCCGCTGGGAGTCAGCCCGACGGGGCCAAGGCAGGACACGAGGCAGGAAACCAGGCAAGGACAGGTACAGGATCTCACTCAGGCAGGATCTAGCATACAGCAATGTTTACCCTTTTATCTTTGTCGGGGTAGCAGCCGGTCCTGATCCCCCAGCGACTCACCTCTCTTGTTTCACCCAAAGGCAAGCACTTCTCCTGAGAGTACTCAGGTCTCTCCTTCTCCCAGACCTTAGTCTCTGCAGCTCGGGAGATGTCAGTGGGTTACTAGAGCCAGAGGCCGCCTCAGCCTCCCCTGACCCAACCAATAGTGGAGCAGCTGTAAGTGATGGTCCAGCTGAAGGCAACGAGGTAATCTGGAGCCAGGGCAGGCTCAGGCCCCTGACTCGGCCCAGCAGGTGTTTGTTGCAGGGGAACCTGTGCAGACTGGGACTCTTCAGGATCAGGCCCCAGACTTGGTTCAGATGATGCCTGAGGCAAAGGATCCAGTGCAGACTGAGTCTCCTCTGGTTCTGAGTCCGAGCCCGAGTCCCAGGCCATCACAAAAACTCTGTATGATGTATGGCATGTCCTGACGCCTCTAAACTAGCCTTCTGTTTCAGGTATGGTTGAGGATGGCATTCCATTACTAGCGTGGATGCCAGTCTGGTTGGCTTATGCATGTGGAATGGGGAAGGACAAATCTTGTCTGACTCAGGCAGCAAAATGCCTGTTCTGAATTGGTGGGAACACAGTTTTCCTAGCTGCATGATGCTAACCGAACACCTGTAGTGGCAGAGCGAGCCTTGTTTCCCATTGAATCCTAAATGGCTCCGTAAGTCTTGGCAACCTCTTGACGAAACAAGTCAACTATGTAACTTCCCTTTGTGCTTTTACAATATTTATCTGTCCTTGTTCCCAAAACAGCTGGAGAGAATCCACCAGCTGGTGGATCGCTAAGTTGAGTTGCAAAGTGTTGCAATTTGTCTCCCCTACAATATCTTTGAATGCCAACAAGAAAGACGGTGTTTCTTTTCTCATCTGGAACCAATTAGCCATCCAGTTGATAATGAGGATAGACATAGATTTGAAAACACACACAAAAACCCTACAAACGCTAATAGGGAAGCTACCCTACCTGCACTATTAGCTGTTAACATGAAGCCTGCCAGATGTCAATTGAGCGCTTGCAGTCTAGTTGGGTTGTTAACACTTCCTCCCTAGTTCCTTCTTCTTTTTTGGTACCCTAATTTTTTTTAAATATGAAGAAGTAGAGGAAACTGAGTTCTCTCTCCTAGCCTGATGTAGCAGTTGGGCTCTCCCAACAGCCTACTGCACAAGGAAATAAGATCATATCCGGTAAGGAAAGCAGAGCTGTTTGAAACTCCCAGGCTCCTCCTGGTGACCTGTTTATTGAGCATTTATCATGGGCTGCTTGCACAAAGTTTTCATGGAGGTCAGACTATATCCAGTCTTTTCTGAGCAGTTCTGTTGATTCTCTCGATTCAGCTCTTGCATAGAATCAAAATTAACAACGATCGGACAATTACACAGGTTCATAGGAAGTTGCTGCATACCATTTCGGAGCATTGGTCCATCTACTTCAGTTTTATCAACACTGATTGGCGCTTGCTCTCCAGGATTGAACCTGGGACATTTTGCATGCAAATTATGTGCTTTCTACCATTGAGCGAGGACCAGCAGGGAAGAGGCATGCACAATACTCTGCAAAAGCCTTCAGCAGCTGTTGCTCAGTTAAGTGATTTCCGGGCTTCCTTTGTTAAAACGTGCACAAGAGACAGATTCCTTATTAATCACTGGGGAAGGAGTGTTGCTGAAGAAAGGGAGACATGCAGAAGAAGCTTCCAAACTCAGTTTGGGTTGGTTTTATGACATCTCTTACTAGTCCTCATAAGGTAAACAATCCTAACCATCAGCTTGAGTCAAGGGAAGCTAAACTGAGAATTCTTTCTCTTTTCTGTGGCTTGCTGAACTCTCTAGCTTATATGGAGAATGAATTGCAGACTCAGGACAGAGTGAATGACAAAATGCTTTCAAGTAGAACTAAGTCATTAATCTGCCTTGAGGAAACCCTTTTCATACAAGTAGACTGTATTATAATGGGGCTCATTGGATTCAAGATCAAATTTTACATACTGACATTAAGGAAGTTGTGGCTAAGCAATAAAAATGCAACATTTCATAGCATAAAGGCATACCATAATCCATACAGCCTTGGGTGGCTGGGCAATCTTGTTGCTGACTTAATTAATTGCTATTGATGCATGCTGAATTTTAGAGTTTTTAGAAGGTCTTTTCTAATTGTTGGATCTACACATGCATATATAATTGTGGACATTTACATCACAGGAGTGCAAGATTAACTGGCACAGTGTCAAGGCACATTGATCCTGTTTCACTGAGTTGGATCCAGACTTGGTAATGTTAAGGGTAGACTCACTGAAATAAATGGGGTTTAAGTTAGTTGTGATAAAAATAGCATTGGGTTGCAGCCAGGCTTAGTAATACCTA